TTTCTGCCTCTGGCCCTGAGCCAGTGGGAAGGGCAGGAATGCTGCAGGGGAAAGAAGTGGCGGGAAGGCCAGAGGGCAAGCCCCCCCACAGCCACCTGAGCCCCCTACTCACTACACTGAAATAATTCAGTTACCCCCCATCCCAGCCACTTGAGCCCCCTAGACACTACTTTCCTTTGCTATAGCACTGTGTGTGTGTGTGGGGGGGGGGGGGGTGACAAATTTAAGGTGACCCTCTGATAATTAGATTCTATATCTGGAAGATTATAAGAAATATACAAGTTTTCCCATATAAAGAATCTAATTATGGAGGAGGGGGGTTGTCTTAAATTCAGGATTGATTCAGATTTGAGTAAATATGGAAGATTTCCGCACCTTGTTCGTCCTCCTCAGATTTTAATGTTTACAAAAGTCCTTGCGCTGGATTAATCCAACATGCGGAAGAATTCCCTCCCTCCCTGCCACATACTGGTATTACTTGGTACCTGGTGGGTTATGTAATGTGAGTCTTCTGCTGCATTACAAACTGGCCACTGCTGGGGATTGCCCAGTGGTTGAGCACTTCTAAAGTCTATCTGTTCTTTTTAAGACAATGCTCAAACTGGGATGAAGAAGCACGTGGCAACAATTCCACGTGCTTGTGAGCTGCAGATACCACTCATGTCGAAGCTGGGAACCAGAAATCAGCCTCTGCTTAATCCAGGTTCACTGATCTTGTGTTTGGCTAGACAGTATAGCTATGAATCTTTTAGATATGCATTAACTCCTAGTTTCTCTAGTAGCTGTGCTCTCCTCAGTATAAGTTTTATATGAGATGCAAGGATTTTTGTGGGTGATATCTTTTATAGGTCCAATAAAATGTATCACTTGCAAAAATCCTTACCTTGTGCATATTTGTTGGGCTAGCACAGCTACATCTCTCCACACTACCACATCTACATTTTATGCCAGTCCAAACCAGTTTCCTAATTTCTGTATTTCTGCTTCTCATTACGTATTTTCTATATTTCTATGCCCCCACCTTCTAAATTTCTGTCCTGTTACAATCAGTACTCTTCTGCAGTTTCTCATCAATGTGCAGTTCTAAGGTAGCTATTAGATCACAAAAGGCTGTTAGCACTTGTTATGCCTTCACATCCCACAGCTAAAGACAGATATGGGGAAACAGGCCAAGGTGAGCTAGTGCTCCTAAATGCTGCTGAGATGCATCTCAGGTCCCTGGCTAGAGGGTCTTTCTCCCACAGTCAGGACCAAAGAAATCAGATTTGGAGTCAGCTAGGAATTTTCCCCCACTGCAGGTTAATTCTTTTAAGATGACACACATGCAATTCCCTTTCTAAAATGCCTAAATACTCTTTAACAAATTCCCTAACATCATAGGAGCCCAGGTAACCCCCCATCTCCTGCAAAATAATGCAGAGGTCCTTTTTGGAATAAATATCCCAGGTTTGTTATACAGTGTTAGTTTGGTAGTTTGGTGCGTCAATGGACTTGCATGTTTTGTGGCCCCTTGCGGACAAAGTTAATACACAATTCCCCAGTGTGCAGGTGCAGACTCTTTTTACCTTGGTGATCCCTTCCAGATCCATGGTTCCCAAACCCCAGGCATGGGAAGGATTTAGGCATCTTCGCCACTGCAACCTCACTTTTCATAACCTTCCCTCAAAAGGATAACTTTTAAATTAAAATAAACAGCCACTGAAGGAACAGAACAAACAGTGATGTGGATGGTACCTCTCCTTACAACACTCACAGAGAGAGTCCAAGTCTCCCTCCTGCTCAGATGAGTGCCCCTAACCACTAGGCTCAGGTCTTATCCATTCTTATCTTCTTCTGTTGGTCCCATGAATCTTGAATTTCCTGTACAGAAAGTCTTTAATAGGAAGATGAGAGAGCATCCCCAGCCCCTTGGATAGTGAACAACTGAGTGCCCTAGTGTCTGGGCATGCTTCTGGGAGGTGCTAGACCTGGGTTTACATGTCCCAAGGCAAGATGGGATTAAACCAAAGACTCCAGAGATAAAATACTGTGCCCACAGAGACCCTTTACAGCAGGGGTGGGCAAAATGTGGCCTATGGGCCAGATGCAGCCTGTCAGACCATTCTATGCAGCCCACGGGGCCCCTAAAAAATGTAGAAAATTAATATTTATCTGCCCAACTCCCTGTCATGTGTCCCTCGATGGCTTGTTAAAACTCAGTAAGCGTCCCTCCACCCAAAATAATTGCCTGCCCCTGCTTACAGAAAAGCTGTCATTGTGGTGGTTTTGTGTGTTAAAAAGATCACAAATCTTTAGAGAAAACAAGGAGAGTTACCACAACCCACAATCTCTTGGAGGAATGACTTTCTACATCCAACATCAGCATAGTATCAGATTTGTGGAAATAATGGACCAACACATCCATAATTGTTTTAGCTTAATCTTTATTTCAAAGTATTTTTTTTTCTTAATAAAACAGCTAACTTAAAAAACAAGTGTATTGCATTGCAGCAATTAGGCCTTGCTGACTTTAGCCATTTTTAGGCAGATAAGCATAATTATTTTACCATTTTTTAAATTAACTTTCCTGCATTGCCATGAAGCACCAAGCCTTTTCCTATAAATGTGGCAGTTTCAGAAGAGGAACCCTCTATTTTTCAACAAATGGAAGAGAGGGAAGCAAGTAAAAAGGTTAAGAGAAAAATCTCTGCTTGCTGGAGCCAATTTCAAACAAGGTGATTGTCAGCTCTCCCTGGCTGATACTCCAGTGCTTTGCCAAACCACCCCATCAGCTCACCCCTACTTTCTTATATTTAGTCACTAAGGAGCTCAAATCGGTAACCTTCCTACCTTTCTCCAGCTCCACTGCTTCCCTTTCAGCGAAAGCCACCATCTCAATTTCAGTAATTTCTTTACCCACCTTGCAGTTCTTGTACTACTCCCCATCTTGTCTAAATCAAGTAAACATTCCCTAAATAGCACCACATCAAGATGCTTCATATTCAAATAGACTACTTTACTGCTTTTCATTTGTTTAGTAAAAACTAAACCCATTATAGCTAGGAGACCATATAAAAGTTATATTAGTATCAATTCAGATTATGTCAAGAAAGATGCATCTGAATCTAAAACTGGTAGTTACCTACTGGTAAGATTTAAGTAGGTGGTTGAGACCTCAGCTCTTTAACAAACAATAAATACCTCTATTTTGCTACTGCTGGCATGTTTTCTTTAACTACTTTCTCATTAACACTCATTAAGTCTCGGGGCATTCACATTTCAACCCAAAATGTCATAAAGCAGATTTGTTAGATGTGAACTTGCATGCAATGTTTAGCCTAAGTCAGACAAAACATGGAGAAAGAGAAAGTGCAAAATTATGAACAAATCACAGTGGAGAACCTGAGTCTGTGCCCAGGAATACAACGTGTTGGCACTTGGTTTTCCATTCCTGATGTTCAAAGATTTGTCTAAAGATTAATTCTCTCTCCTTTCACAAGCCGTCCCCGTATCATCCAGGTGTCCTTAAAACAAAAATAAAAGTTAACAGCAGTAGAACAGATTGCCATATTTTCTCATGTGCAGCATGCCCTAGAATATATTACACCCCTTGTTTAGTTTTGGTTTTGGGGAGTGGAAAACAGAACCAAGGGAAAAAATCTTTCCATATACCATCTAACTGAGTAGCAGCAGCTAGGGAGCTGAGCCTGCTCACTGTTCTGCTCCTCATGGATTGCTTTCACCTGTAAGTGGTAGAACCTGCTCTTACTGTATTGCTTGCATATAATATACGCTGAAATACCTAGTAACTGTTTTTTGGGAGAGATGTGTGAACCCTGGCCCTGTTACTAGACAGAGGAGAACAAGAGATGGAGGAACAGAGGTTGTAGAATTTAAAGAGTGGGGGAAAAAAGAAGAGAACCCAGAAGGGAATATAGAGGGCCACCCACCATTTTCAGAGATGAAACAGTGGGTGGTTTAAGGACTCGCTAATTAACTGATTAGCGACTCCTTCCCAGGCACCAGGAAGTGGGACAGGGAGAGTTACCTGGTTATTTAAACCTCTGCTGAAGGACCTAAAGAGGAGGGGAAAGAGTTTGAGCCAGACCTAGCAACTGTCTGGGAAAAAAGGCCTAGAAAGCAGTGGGATGGAGTTCCTGACCTCAGAAAAAGACAACTGAGCTCCAGGGGATTTGGAAGAGACAGAAGAAAGGGGAGAAGCAGCCTGTTGGGGAGATTTTGAATGGAGAGATGGAAACTAATTAGACAGGATATGATTTTTTTCTTTATTTTTGTTATGGCTGCCATATTGGAGGCAGAAGACTGTGTTGTTACTAAGAGGGCACTGACGCCATTTCTGTTTGAGTATTTTTCATGAAGACTAATCCATTGGTTTGTGGTGGGACTGTGAAGAGAGGAAGGAGGTCCCAGAGAAGTCTGAACAAGGCAGAGGTGTGAACAGTGAACCCAATTGCTCATGAGGGGTGGTAAAAGGGGCTGAGGCCCCAGATTACTGGATTGGAGCTTGTGGACTTTAAAACAGAGGCTCCAACCTGCGAATAAAAAGCTATACATATCAAGGAGAATCCTGGCAAGGCTCGGCTCCTGTGGAAAAGGTCAGCTGCCGAGGGGAGAAGAGGAACAGCAACAGCGGTAGACACAGCCCAGAACTAAGCTGAAGGAAGCTGAGAGAGAGAACCTGGTGAGCAACACATCCACCAAGGGTATCCCCTGACCTTGCCACCTGCTTCCTAAACATAAAGAAAAAGATCAAGGTGTAATAGGTGAGAAAGGAAGGGAAGCTGGGAAAGGGGGATTGTGACAGCAGGCCACATCCACAGATAACTGGGGAAAGAACAGGCTGATTCCCTTGAATTACAAGCAGAGCTGTCACAGCAAGAAAATACAGTATTAGGTAGACTGGGGCACAGTATTTATTTCTGAAGACACCCAAGTTGAATTTTCTTCCCCCTTAGCTACATATTTTAAACGAACAAAATTCATGATTTTTCCCTAAAGCTTCTGTATAAATATATTATGGCAGAACAAAGTCAACACACAAATACTGAAGGCCACAAAAAGATGAGTCCATCTGTGAGATTCATATAAGTTCTATGACATACGAAAAGAGAAAAAAATATCAAGAAAGGCGGGAGTAGGAGAGAGACACAAATGCTACACTGAAAATTTTCAACTAAACACAAGAAGCTGTCACATTTATAATAATATTCCTATGGGATAACACCCGTATATTGCAAGAGGAACAAATCAGATGACAGAAAGAAAAAAAACTTATTTTCTTGTACACACAATATTAAGCCTCCCTTTTGTATCTTCAGCTGCTTTGACCTTCTGCACAACGTAAAATGCTCTATGGCTGACTAGATTTATTACAGTGCTTCTTTCCAACAGCAGACAGGCTCTGTGAAGGCACACAGGAACCAGGTAGAGGGTACAAGATTACAAAGAAACCAGTGGACAGAATTAGGTGCAAAATAGGAATATGGAAACAGTAAAAAATGACTACGTTTGTCACCATTTCTCTGCAAAAGTGGAAGCAAGCCAGCCTAGTCCGAGAGAGACAGACTGGGCACAGGAGAATGGACAGGGAATTCTGATCTCCATGTGCGGTCCTGATGCCAGCTCTGCCTGGGGCAAATCAGGGAAGCTGAAGAAGAGCAGTTACAGATGGAAATTAGTACATGTCAGTAACTGCTCTGAAGATTAAAAAAAAAAAAAAATGTCTCTCTAAACAAAGCTTTTGAGAAATCTGCTCCATGCTGCCTCAATTCCACACTGATGGGTGGGTTAGAAAAGCCGTTGATTAGCTAGGTTGGAAGAACTAGAGGTGAGAGGTGGGGAGGGGATCGAAAAGACACCAAAAACCAAGCAGTAGCAAGCAGCTGACCTTCCTCCAATGGATGCTCCGTCAGAGAAAGGACTATTGTGCTGCTGATTTAAGAGGAACCTGGTGTCTTGGGCAATTTCAGGATACAGTAAGATACCCATGATACCCATCACTCTGGCAAATGTCCCAAGTGCCAATTGTTACAAGGGGATTATATTAAAAAGCACACACAACCAATCAAAATTCTCCTCAGATCTTTGGGTCCAGCTACTGACTTTAAACAGAAGTCACACCAATGATTTAAGACAAAACTGTGAGCCAATCCTATAATTGCCCTGAACAACAGCAACCATTCAGCCCCGTGCAAGGAGTACCAGGTATCTGCTCTGTCTTTTAGCTCCCCACCACAGTGGACTTTAGAACCAGTGGTGAGTACCTGCCATTTGGAGTCTAAACTCACGGATGTATCCTGCCTCATCTCACGAGCATTATCCCTGGAATCGCTCTCCCTCGCTTGAGTTTGGTAAGATAAGCCAAATCAGGCTTGCCAGTCATTATAATAAGCATCATCCTGAGGAAATCAAACATTCTCATCTGCTCACAGTTGTAAGTGGACCTATGTTAAAACATTTTAAAATGGATGGGTCATTACCCTTAAATAACTGCTTATGAATTAAGTAATAAAAAGCACAAAATACCTGAAGCACACAATCAATATGCATAAACTACAACTAAAAATGGTTTGTGTCATTAGGACAACCGGCTGCAGGGTCTGATTCTTGGTTACCTTCAAGGTAATAGGGATAGTCACACTGTATTTTTTCTGTGCAATTTCCAGAACTTCTCTCTCAATGTTTTCTTGACTAGTGCCCTTGACATCGATGTAATGGCAATCTGCACTTGCAAAGTGACAAGATATTGCCTGCATGAAAAAAATCTGGAGTCAGTTCCACTATAGTTACAGACACCAAGCCAAAAGTAGTGACCTGCTGACACCCCATCAAATCATTTTAGAGCAAACACTGTTGTAGCCCCGTGTGAGCCCCTCCTTATGCTTTTAGCGTGCGCCTCCGCTTTTGGAAATCTTCACCTGGGAAAAAAGCACTTTTAATAAGAATTCACATTGTTCCTTTTTTAAGGAGCCTTTCAGAGTGGAATTAGGTCAATGAGTCATTCAAACTTTAATTAATCTAAGCCTCACCCTCCCTATACAAGGATTAGTTAGTTCATGTTAAAGGCTTTAAAGGCGAAAAAATTAAAGCAATACACTTTCTCCTTCAAAGGCAGCTTAAAATCTGATGAAATAGCCTTGAATTCTGTTGGAATTGCTAGTGTTCATTTCCTTCCCAGAATCTGCGCCTTACTATACACCTCTCCAAAAAATATACTACTGCATTACATCACTTCTCTAAAAGTGAAACTGGCCTATTTTAAAGTAGCATTACAGCAAAAGTCGCTTCAGAAACCTATAAAAACAAACCAAAAAATCTCCTGGCATGCAAGGAACCATGAGATAGTCACAGATTTGAGAGGAGGGTTTTTTTTAGCTGTTTTATGTTAAAAAGACTATACAGCAAACTGAATACTTTACCTTGAAATGGTTCTTACCTTTCGAAAGCCTTGAGTTCGGTTTGCTCCTGAGCCGTGAATCAGCAGAGGATGGAAGAACACAGTATCGCCCTTCTTCATCTCAAGGTGAACCCCGGGCTGGTTTGCATCATAGTCACGCACCCCATGGTACATCTTATTGACACCACCCTGGAGACAATACAAAGTTCAAATGTTTAAACTGCTGCAGAGACTCATGGTGGAGGGGGGAAGTGGGAAATCTATATAATTTCATGTGCCTGCCTAAGAGCTGCCTGTGGGTTTCTGAGGGGAAAGTGTGCCTAAATTCAGTCTGGCCATTTCTGAGTTATGTGATGTTGCAAGAATGCTACATTTTTCCTTTGAAGCAACACCCCAAACCACTATGTTCAGGATAATTATTCAGGCAAGAAAGATGTTCCTCATAGGCCTGTACAGTTGGCTTACAAACTATTCTTCTAGGAGGATATTTTCATTTTGCTAAGCGTCTGATCTTACACATGTCCACAGCACTCCTATCTGCTTGAAGAAAACAAATATGTTCCTGGGGCCAACCTCTGGGACTAAACATCACTGTGTCTTCAATACCAGGGATGCTCAGCCTCCAGCCCCCAGGCTGGATCTGGCACATGGAGCTGTGTCATCCGGCCCTCAGGGGTCTCCAAGGGTCCTGAAATTTGGTGGTGGGGGAGCACTGGTGACATTAACTGCCTTCAAATTTCTGGACCCCTGGTATCTGCAGGCTGGCTGCACGGGGTTAGGCCAGCATGCTGGATCACACCCATGTTGACTGCACGCACTGACCATGCATGGGATCTGGCCTGCCATCTGACCCCATGCCACTCCTCCAGTCCACAGAGTCAGAAAGATGGGTGCCACTTATGCTTGACATGTTACGAATTTGCATAAACTTCTTGACAACTGAGGGCTGGAGGGCTGTGAAGCACAGAAAAACTATCCCCACTTCTAGTATGGGGTAATGTCTCCCCAGTGAACAGCTGAATTGTGTGCCCATCATCACTCTCTAGGCTACTGGAACACCCAGCGTGCAACATGGACACAGAAGTCAGTCCCTGACCCAAAAAAGGCTCATACTCCATAACAAGGCAAGATATACCAAAAAACCTCACAGCTACATAGGAGCTTTAGCCAGTAACAAATCTGCATGATTCAACTTTACCAAACAAAACCCGTCTACGGGCCCCAGACTCCACACACCATCCACAGGAACCCCATGTGCAACTCTACCTCCCACTCAGGGTAATCGTGCTGCTTCAGGGAGCCTTTGTGCGTTCCAGGCAACACAACCAGGCAGCCGTTGCTGCGATCTATCCGCTCCATGGCCGTCCAGGCAGCCACAATGAGATTTGCAGGACGGAAGGGGAAGTAGTGCAAATCTTGATGCATGGGATGGCGAGAGCTCATCTTACCTGGAACAAGAAGAATTCTCAACAAGGAAATGCTTAAACCATTTGGCACCAGTGGGGAGTTTTCACTGTTCAGCTATCGTGAGGGGTCACAGCATGCTGTAAGAACTAGTCTCACTTTGCACTGGTTAGGGGTGCAGCTGGATTCAGGATGTGAAATGCATTATATTTCCAGCCATGAACTTTATGGTAATTGTTATTTTATTAAGTGATGTCTCATATGGATCAAGTTTAAAAATGGATCAAGTGTCTGTTGCGTTTCTAAATTCAAATTTCCTCAAATACTTGGGAAGTCCATTTGTAGCATATGACAAAGTAGGGTATTGGCTAAGAAAGCTTTTGCTGAACCAGCTAGCCTCTGAACCATGCCACCCTGCCCTGACTTCAAACAAATGTGGCTAACTACCTCTTGCTACTCCAAGACTTGTAAACTCTACTGCACTTCTAAGTGCAGCGCACAGGGGAGATGATGCTTGTAAACCAGGTTAAAGTGTTTTGATACAGTAGATATTTGCTAAAAGTACTAACAAAGGTAGATGTGAAAAATAAAAACAGAATCTATCTGAATATTATCACATTAAATTTATCTAGCGTAACTTAAAAAAAAAGATTCTAATATCTTAAATGAGGTTAAGATTTAGAAATCTCTCTCATATGCTTTAGGGTCAAGATTTTCAAGAATAAGAGCCAAAAATTATGCTCTTAAGTCTTTATTTCAAATGCTGACCACTCAATTTACCAGAGGACACTATCTACACTTCTAACTCAATGCTGAGGTTTTGAAAACTCAGGCTGTTACAGGCTATATCTGAACAATGCCTGTGCCTTTAACCTACATTTAATACAGGCACAAACCCAAAAGATCCATATATATTTCAAAAGAACCTAACTTTTGGGCCCAGGCTTTATAAATCTTAGCCTACTTTAAAAGCGAGATTTTAAAGGCTCAAGCTGCAGACAGATTTTTAAAAAAGTCAATATTTTTTCCAAGTTAAAAGTTTTTTCCAGTTAATACATGAAGCCAGTAAACCCCAGTGCAAAGCTCAACTTGGCCAAAAGTTAATTGGCCAAAAGTTAATTTATTCCTGAATCAAGAAGCAGGTTTAGAAAATTTTCAACAATACTGGCAGGATATGGCCAAGCTATAACCCTCCTTGAAACATGGTTTCCTCAAAAGGAACATTGCCCAGGTGATTCAGATTCCTATATAGAAGAGGGGAGATATGCAAAAACCATATTCTAAAGCCATTAGGAAAAAGAGTTTCTCAGTTTTGAGCGAAAAATACAACGCCCCTAATTCAGCCAGATACGTGCCCAACTTTAAATAAGTACCCCCCGGTGACTTCAGTGGAAGTACTCACATGCTTAAAAATAGGTATGAACCTGACTGATTCAGAGCCCTGAACTAGAAAAAAAAATAGAGAACATTTTAAAGTCTAGGTGAAAAATTGCACTTAAAAAATTCTTAACTAGATAGAAAGTCGCCCATTATTATAAAGTGAAGCTTCTTTTTCCTCCTCATCTAATATCATCCTTACCAGGATCTGGAGGTTTATTTATCAGCATTGTGTGCATGGCCATTATGTTTGGCCCGGTAAAGCACTCAACGTATTTTAGGATCTAAGATAAAGAAAATTAAGAATAAGAAAGAAATTACATTGTTGCAATATGTAGTAGAATCCAACAAAAAGCAATCACCATGTATTGGTCAGATCTAAACTATACACTTTTACTGGCAAGACTACGGCAGTCAGTCCTGATGAGGTGGGATCTGTGGCTAGCACTGCTAGGTCCCTACTGGAGATAAAACAATACTGGCAAACACACCGTGTGGTTGTTATAGTTAATCTTGCCAAGGGGTTGCAGAAAGCTATTGCAATATAACAGCCACATCAAAAGAACTATAAGATGTTATTTGTTCACATGTGCTTTTTCTAAATGAGCCTGCAGGGTAAGCGTGTTTTACAGGAGCAAATCAATCATATTTTATGTTGCTACATGCAATATAATCCAGTTATAAAGAGATTTCTACAGCACTTCCACATACGTAGATCTATTTTCTGTTACTTTTCTTATTAAAAGAAAAAAAATGTGTTGGTTCTTAAAATAACCTAAACCTGTAAAATCCAGTTGCCCTTTGGATGCTGCCATTGGGCGCAGTTTAGAAAGCTCACAGTGAAGCGAAATCCTAGCAGTGCTGTAAGTGTCCCCTACCCCTCACACCCTTTCTCAGGGTTACATCTGGAAGTGGACAAAGGAGGCTTTGATGTCCTGACAATACACGTTTCTTTACATGGGCCATTATTTTTAGAAACCAGTACGATTTCCCCTTCTAACCTGAGGCAGGGTACAATATCTGAAGAGCTCCTCATCTTCCTGAAAATCCTGAATTTTAGTAATTGCTTTTTCATCTGGAACGAACTCTGACTTAGCAATGGTCACATCTCGCATTGCTATTAATCCAGGTACTTGTATCTCCTTTTTACAGATCTTTATAAATTCATTTCTGAAAAAGAATATTAAAAAAAAAATGTCAGTAGGCATTCTACCACTTTACTACACTAAAATATTTAATCTTATGGCTTTCTGAATAAATTGGCCCGTCTGCCTGACTTGAGATAAACACTGCTAACTACCTCTCTCTAAAACATTTAAATGGCAGGATAAATTAGTCATTGATACTGCGCTTCCAGTTCAGGAAACCCCGGGGTTCATAGGGTTTCAATAAATTATGCAAAATTACCAAATAGCAAAAAGTTTGTGGCTAGATTAGATAGCTGCCCTGTACCTGAAACGCTCAATATCTTCATCAGAAACAAGGTTTTTAATGAGTAGATAACCGTTTTCCTCATAGAAGTGCCTTTGCTCTGGGGTCAGAAGATCATTATCTAGAGTGTAACTGCGAAGATAAACAGAAATGATTACATAAGTGCAAAGAGAAGGAAGTACTGATGTTCTCCATGGACTGCTCCCGTTTCAGCTGTGGCCTGAAAAGAAAAATAAAATACACATTTCATGGAATTAACTGCTGACAGAGAGAAACAGAATCACTCGTAACAGAGATGAAAAGACAGCTCTCTAAGAAAAATCCTGAAAACTCATCTTCTCTATGAACAAATCAGTCAGGAAAGAAAAAAGATAATGATTTTCCCCCCCTCCTGACTGTGAAGAAAGGGGTTTGTTTTTAAAAGGCAAAATAGTTCAGACCCTCATTTTTGCTGTTGGGTTTTGAACAGTTTCCATTCTGTACACTGCTCCAGAGAGCTGCCTGGCAATGTACAGACTGCATATAAAACCTGTCCTACCCTTGGTAGATCATCATAAAATGCAGGGTAAGATAACACTGGGCAAGAGGAGGAATGTATGATGAGAAGCTGTTTGTTTTTTCCTTAGGCTTACATGTTTCCCAATCCAGCTGAATATGTTTAAGGTATTACATACACAATTATTTAATATAATGTTTTCTTGATTTGGAAGCGTGAGTTCTAGGTATAAAAGCAGCTGTCCCTTTGACCCACCTTCCACCCTCCTAAAAGGAGGTCTCCATGGGTGGATCCAGAAGGGAGGTGGGGGGTTGCAGCCACAGCCCTTTTGGCCGTGTGGTGCACGTGCAGCGTGCTCTTTGCCCTCACTGGCACATCAGTGCAACTCCTGCCAGAACTCCTCGCTTGCTGGGAGCACTCTGAGCACCCAGAGGACAAGTGCCACCACCGCTCACCTCTTCTTTCCACCCAAATTCAACAACGGGGGGAAAAAAAAAAGAAGGCAGTGCTCAACCTCTGGCGTCCAAAGCATGAAAGCAGGGGCTCTGGACGCATCTGATTCTCAATATACCTACCTGAGAGGGTCATACTCATGTAAACAGACCCTTGAAACATGATCATCAGTCTCCAAGTCCCTTTAAACAGATGAGAAAATGCCCCCACAAGATTTAATTTGCACACCGAATGGAAATATGGCCATCAGAAAAAAAGAGGCAATTATATAGAGAGTGGACACTCATCTTCAAACTTAGTATGAAAAAGAAGTTAAATGTCACTTACTGGAACCCCCCTGGGTTTGTAGCAGCGCCAACTCGTGCTGAAGTAGGAAGTGCTGCCTGCAGTATACATTAAGGAATACAAAAATAAAATTACTTTTACGAAAGCATCTCCAAGTATGCCTGGACTCCCAGAATCTGATGGTTATTACCCAGGTGAAACCACAATAAATACATGCCATAATCCATATACAAGGTTCTTACCCATTTTTATCCTGAGACTTGCTCCCCTTCTTCCCATTTGCTTTGCAGCAATACTCTTTATTCAAAATACCGGCGAGAAGAGATTAGCATACACAGTCACAGCCCGCGCCAGAGTCGGTGCAAGCCTCCCACAGGGAGCCCCAAACCGGGACAAGCGCCCCCTCTCCTGCACTTGCCACAGCGACAGGGACGGGGGGAGGCTGCCGCACCAGGTCAGCTCCCTGCCCCAGCTCAGCCCCCTCGGCCCCGGTCAGAGAGGGTCGGGCGGCGCCCAGCTGCCCCGACCCAAGGTTACAGAGCAGAGGCCGCAGGCGGCCGGGCGGAGCAGGCCCAGGGCCCAGGGCCGGGGCAGGGAGGAGCGCGGCGGGCTGGAGCCCCGGCCCCCCGGGCCCTGCCTGCAGCGGGAAGGATACGGGGCGGCCGGGCCGCAGGTGCCGCAGGACGGTCTCCAGGCGCCATCCTGCCCGCCCCTCACCCTGCATGGCGGCGCGGCGCTGCGCTGCGGGACGGCGGCTCCGGGGCGGGGCGCCCTCCTGCGTGGGGGAGGGCTAATCCGGGGTGCGTTAACCCGACGTTCATGAACCCGGGGTTCATACATCCAGGGTTTGATCCAGACTCCAGAGCTCATTATTCCGGGATTTAGTCCGGGGTGCATAAATCTGAGGTTTAATCCAAGGTTCATCATGCCAGAGTTTCGTCCGAGGTTCAGTTCGGCATTGAATCAGAGGTTCATTCGTTTGAGGGTCAATCCAGGGTTTAATCTGGAGTGTGTTACTCTGAGGTTTAGTTTGCAGTTCGTTCTTCGAGGGTTTAATCCGCAATTCATTAATCGCAGGTTGAATCCGCAGTTCATTGTTCCAGCATTTCATCTGGGGCGCGTTTGTCCAGGGTTTAATCCAAGGTTCATAAATATGGTGTTTAGTCCAGGGTTTGATCCAGACTCCAGAGCTCATTATTCCAGGGTTTAATCTGGGGTTCATTAGTTTGAGATATAATCCAAGGTTCATAGATCCAAAATTGAATCCAGAGTTTATTCTGGGGTTTAATCTGATGTTCATTAGTTTGAAGTTTAATCCAGGGTTGAATCTGGAGTTCATTATTCCAAGGTTGAGCCTGGAGTCTGAGATGGTTCGTTATTCTAGCGTTTAATCTGGAGTTCATCCATCTGAGGTTTAATATGTAGTTCATTATTCCAGGATTAAACCAAATCCTGAGGTTTAATCCAGGATTTGGTCCAGGGTTTAATCTGAGGTTCATTAGCCTAGGCTTTGGTCCAGGGTTTATTCTGGGATTCGTTGTTTTGAAATTTAATCCAAGGTTCAGAGTTTGATCCAGAGTTTAGTCGGGTGGAATCTGAGGTTCATTAGTCCAAGGTTTAATCCAGGATTTAATCTGTAGTTCATTATTCCAGGGTTTATTCTGCCTTTCATTATTCTGAGGCGTAATCTCTGGTTCATTATGACAGGGTTTAATCTGTGGTTCATTAATATATTTAATCTGAAGTTAATTATTCTAGGATTTAATATGGGGTTTATTAGCCTGAGGTTTAATCCAGGGTTATAGCTGTAATTTAATCTGGTGTTAATTAGTCCAAAATTTAATCCAGGCTTCATCAATCTGGGGTTTAATTCAGGGTTCATGGTTTGATTCGCATCAAAACGGGCTGGGGCAGGGTTGTGTACACAACTGAGGCCCGGACAACAATTCACTCGAAGGCCAAGTCTTAATGCGAGGCTTCACAGGTACACCATGTGGGGTGAGGGGCTGGTGGGTCTGCATGGGATGGGCTTTGCTGTGGGACAAGATGCTCCAGTCCCAATCAAGCCTGTTTTTTGCCTACAACAGAAGGATTTTCTGTAGTCAAGCAATGAGTGAAAACTAAGAACTGGCATTTTTTGAGGGGACCTTGAGTTTCCGGAGGTGGGGGCTTGAGTCTGAAAAGGCCGAGAACCACGACCCTACACCAGTTGCTGCCAGCCTTTTTTGGCAGGCACTCTGCAGCTGACCTGCGAGAAGTACAGCAGAAGCGTAATGCAGGCGCACACAGCTTTCTCCTGCAGCCGCTTCTCGGTTCAGCTCTTGCATGCTTCCTGATAACAAAAGGTGCGCGAGACAGTTGCACCCCACGACAGTGGCAGCACCCTGTTGAGAACCACTGTATTAGGGGCTTTGGCATAAGCACCTCCACCCTGTAGATGTCCATTATATAAAGACAGGAGGAACTGCATGTTGTTGCAGTAACTCTTTAAACTAAAACAGTGATTCTCCACCTTAGCCTCAAGGTAACACTCCATAACTCTTCTGAATTTGGTGGCACGCTGGGGTGCTGGTTGTGATTTACTGAGCTAGCAGCTAAATTCAGAGAAGTTGTGGAGGGCTGCCTTGAGGCTAAAAAGGTTGAGAAACACTGATCTGCAGGAGTGCCCCAGCTTCAGCTGATACCAGGGAGGGCAAGCACAGCAGGGCTTCATCCCCTGCTCTTTCCACCCCCTGCATCCCCTTCCCACCCCCAGTCCATACCTGAGGGGGCAAGGATGGTCCCTGCAGCTGAAGCTGCTCCCTTGAGGTTGCACATGCCAGCAGCCAGAGCCATCTGCCCCCACCACCCCTTTCATAGGTCCTGGGAGCATGGGAGAAACCACAGGGATGAGCTAACCCAAAAAGCATGGCTGTCATTCATCTGCCTGCCTGCCTGCCTGCCGCAGAGTGTGGGGGCAGCCAGCACAAGCGTGCCAGGGGGCAGGGAAGGGCAGCTGGTCCAATACAGTTGTTCTTTGTAGACTCAAGGCCTCCCTTGAAAAACACCAGATCAGCTTCACTCCATCTTTGAAAAAACAATAAAGCAATTCTATTGCAAAGAGCTCGGCAATATGACAAAAAATTGGGATGTTTTTGACACTGGGGATTCGTATTCAAAATCTCTGGGTTTATATTGTGAATTATGTGCATGTGTTTGCGCACCCAATAGTGCCAGTATTGTGCATCACTCTTAAAAGGATCTCATTACACCCAAGGGTGCTGCAGCACCCTGGTTGAGAATCACTGAATACATTCATGTGAGAGCTAATGTAATCCTATCAAATTGCTAATACTAATTTATAGTAATTGCAGAGCTACCGTAATAAAACTGGGTACATTAAGAGAAGCCCACACATTTCAAAGGCCGGAGTTTGCAACTCTGAAAGACGCTAGAGCTGCATCCAGATAAACACGGATGTGCGGTATGTGGCACTGCAAACCTGTCTGTGGCACCACACACTACACATGCAGGTGCTCCCTGACTTTGTAGTGTGGGGTTTTTTTGATCCTGGGATTACAAAAACCTATGCCAAAACGCACGGTGGCCCATGTGTTGGCAGCGTGCACCACCCAAAACTGGAGCCTGGCTGGTTGGCGCCACACTGGCTGGAGACATGCTCCAGCTGCTGGCCAGACTCCCTGCTGCAGGAGTGCTGTGGCTGCAGCTCCCCAGGGCTGCCAGGACCCCAGGTAGGGCTGCTGGGGCCACCACAGTTGCTGGCCCCAGCCTCCCCTACCCCACCCAGGGCAACCTGCTGCATGTCAGCACACATGGCCCGGCGTCCCCCAGGGGCAAGCAACAGTGACACAAGGCATGCCACTGTTACTTGTCTCTAGGAAAACGCATATTCCTGCTCATCTGGATGTGGCCTAGTTGGTCAGGATTAAGCCTAGTTTGTCAAAGAGGAGTGTGCCAATGCTCCTAGGACTAAAGCCTGAGGTTCCTGGCTAGAGGCTCTTGCCCCTCCCCTCAGGGATTTGGGGTCAGGAAGGAATTTTACCCCATGGTCAGATTGGTATCGACTGTGGGGGGTTTTGCCTTCCTCTGTAGCAGGGGGCCATGTCTCTCTACCCAGGACCCACTGAGCACATATTGACATTTCATAGAAGCAGGATGTTGGCTGCCATGATTCCCTCCTTTACCTGGGGAAAGTTAGGGTGTTAGGTTTACGTTGTGTCAGGACTGAAGGTAGTCTTATGTAGAGTTTAGATTACGGTTTATATGGGATGGTTTGGATAGAGATGATCCTGTCTCAGGCAGGGGACTGGACTAGATGACCTCTGGAGGTCCCTTCCAGCCCCACTTCTCTGTGATGCTATGACTCGAAAGAGGCATTAGGCAATACCAGCATATCATCTATGTTTTTGGCTAAAGTCCCTCAAAGTGAAATCTGGATGTAAGTCTAGTAAGTGTTGGTTTCAAGTCACTTTAATTGCAGTAGTAGAAATCCATGATGTTTCTTGGGTAGTCATTTTTAGCATTTAAGGAAAGGTAATTGCTCAAAACCCAGACAGAGCAAACTGAAATTGCACAAGCCTTCACCCTGTACAGACTTTTAACCTTTTTCATAGCAATCACTACTACAACCCAGGCTGCCCGCCCCCTTATATATATCATGGTTAAAAAGCAAGGGGTTGGGAGCTGGGCAGCCTGGGTTGTAGTGACTGCTATGAGTGAACCTGGGGATGAAAGTTCCCTGGATGGTGGTTTCTCCATCTGTAAAACAAAAGCAAACTAAAACCCCATGCCAAGAACTGTCACTGTCAGTGTTGGTGAAGAGACCCAAGATGCTTGGATGAAAAAGGTGTGTTTAATATTATTTGATGAGCATTTCCACTTCACTTTTTGATGTCACGTTTTCTAGATTTCAGGGGTAATACCACACTACAGCAAGAAAGAGCAGCCGGTCACGGTGAGATTCTAGCTCAGCCCCTCAAGTCCAGACCAAGGCTGTTTTGATATGGCACCCTGGTTGAGAGCACTTTTATTACATCACTATGTAAACTAGGAATTTAGGCACTGCTGACATAATTGAATTAATCCAATACATATGCACTTGTGCAATGTGCGTGGATTTTCAGATTGCATGTGCACCTGGATAAAAAGGCAACTAAAATATCTACAAGCAGACTTGGTTTCTGTATTTTGAAACAGATTTATTTTTTGTTCTGTAAATGAGAAAGCCAGGTAAGTCTCTTCCAGTCAGTTTATATCTGTGCCAACTCTTTTCAGCACAATAATTTTGAATGTTACTGTACAACTTCAAGTGAATCATTACAGCTGCACATTTTAAACTATGACTTTTTCTATAAAACCAAGTGACATATACTAGTGTATATATACATATATACTGCAGGCCCAACCAATTTATCTTGCACTTTGCTCCTATCTGAGTAAAGCAAAGCGAAGGGTGTATGTCTCATCAAGTATTCTACACCAAGTTTACACAGTTAAAGGGGCCACAATAAAACTGCTACTTGGAGAAAGAGCAAGATGTGTTCCAAACGTCCTACAAAACAATTTCATTTTATTAAGTTTCTCCAACACAATTGAGTATTCCCTAGTTAAACTTATCACCACTTTAGTTTTCAAACTTACAAAAAGTGTGCATCTTCATCTCCCCTTTGACTGCATACATTCAGCTAGGTTCAATAAATCCTCCTCAGTCATAATTGACTATCAACTATCAGGATGAGAAGCGTGTGAGGTGAAGGTTACATAAGGCTTCCACTGCTGCAAATATACATGGAGTTCTTTACGACAGTTATTCATTTTAGACTATAAACATTCTCATCCTAGAGCAAATTAAAATAGGAACAGCCAATCAGAGGTGTGAAGGAGGGTCAGAGTGAAGGCTTTCACTGAACCCAATGGGGGAAAAATACCCTAAAAGACTTTCTTTGGAATAGAACTGTGTCCTGTTCTACCCGAAAAAAATCTGTTTGCTTGGCAGGTGAAGAAACTCCCCTTTGTGAGGAGCTGTTGGCCAGCATTCAGATGATGCAGTCCATCACGTGGATCTGAAGTGTGTCAATGTCTGGGAGAATTTCTCCACATTTGGGACAGGAATGCATTGGAATATTCGATTGCTGCCAGTCTTGACCACCAGTTCCTGCCAATAAACCAAATGAAAGACTGTTCACTATTAGGCCCCATTTTTACTCCACTGTGCAAGCATGAATTTAGCACTAGGAAATTATGCTAGAATGAACCGCTGTGCTGTCACAGGAGTGCCGCACCCTCTGCCCAATCAGCAGCTCTCAAATGCCCAAGCAAGCAGCTGGGCAAAGACAGAGCAGTCCTGAAAGTACTCTGTGTTGTCCGCTCCGCCCCTGGCATAACACAAAGCTGGTTTGTACTAGGCACAGCAGGGCTAGATTTCAGAGCCTGATCCAAAAGTTCTCTTAGATTTACCTCTTTGAACAAGATGAGGCAAATGTTCTCGATCTAGCGAGGTTCTTGCTCCATGCCGACTTTGCATTTCCACTAGAGAATTTCTGCAGAGATGAAAGAAGGGGTGAGGCACCTGCTTTTAAATACAGTGAAAAAACCTATGAGGAAGAGATTCCTGTTTGATGTTACACCAGGTCAGACAGAAGATGGTGTCACAGTGTTCTGCAGTAGATCTGGTCACCCAGGACTGCATTAATTCAACCAACCTTTTAGGAGCAGTGGGCCAAAATAATGTTGCTTGGTCCCAAGCCAGCCAGTTCTTCCTACCTGGCCACTGTTTCTTCCCACCAATATGAATGCAGCTTATTGAAAAATACCCCCTCATCCTGCTGTTGGCAACCACCAAAATGCTGCCAACATTTGGGCTTTGCAGGTCAGATGGATGAAACTGATTAATAGGCCCAAAGGCCTTAGTTTACTGATCCCTGCTTTAACTCATACTGCCTTATGGACCAGAAATCGAGTCCAGATCCTCAAAGGTAGATGGTTCCTAGCTCCCACTGAACTGGGACCCTATCAAATTCTGGAAGTCAATAGGATTTAGGCATTTAAATACCTTTGAGGATTGGATTCGATGCTTTCGAACATTCTAAGGACTTGAAATTGTTTAACATAACTGAAAGTCTATTTGAAGTATAAAAGGCAAGTTATATAGGAAAGCGTTCTGGGCTAAATGTCTTCCATGTCCTGGAGGAGAGCAGGACACATTCACATGTAATGTTTGCAAAGAGATTTTGGTTTCCAAGTTCTTAGCTTCGGTGAAACACATAACCACTAATCACAGAACAACTAGTTTCTGCACTCAGTTATATGAAGGAAAACTATATTAAAATGTGGTGGATGGTGGTAGAATTTAAGCAGACAGAATATATATTATCCAAATGGAAATTTTACCTAGACACCAGAGTAAACACCCTTCCTAAAGTACAATCTGAGGACAATGGTGGTAGTCTGTGCTGGTCTGAAACCAGGCAGAAGCATTTAAGTCTCTAAGGCTGTGTCCAGATGAGTGTGGATGTTTGGTTCCCTGGGGACAACTAGCAGAGGGACACCTTGTACCGCTGCTAGTTGTTCCCAGGCAATGCCCATACCATGTGCCCTCTGGTGTGTGGCAGATTACCCCAAGTGCTGGGGGGAAGCTGCAGCTGCCTCACTCCTACAGCTTGGAGTCTGGATAGCAGCTGGAGTGTGGCACTGGCTCGCCAGGCTCGTTTTGGGAAGTGCACACTGTCCCCATGTGTGGCGCCCCATTTTTTTTCTGTACGGGTTTTTTTTTTAACCTCTGGAGATCCAGGGGTCAAGAGAACCCCTAGTGCTGCAAGGTAGCATCACAGGATACACCTGTATGTGCAGTATGTGGAGCCGCAGATGGGTCTGCACAACCACGCTTGCCTGACAGCCTAAGGGGGCAGCATGTGCAATCTTGTGCCTTAATAAAGTATTATTGTTACCATAAAATAAAAAAAAAACCCCTTAGATATCATTTAACTTGGCTTTTTCTCTTTGAAAAGTCAGGAAAAACCAAGGGAAGGAACAAAAGCTTAGAGATGTGAATGGTTAGAAGTCACTCTGCCTTTAATTATAGAAGTGATCCTTCTTATACAACACTAGATAGCTGGGTGGAAACAGAATGGGTGGAGTTGTTTTTGGGAGATACCATTCATCTCTGTGAATTCACTCTTTAGGACATGCCTGAAAAACTTGGCAGAAGAGGTTTCAGATTAAGTTAACCTACCAGTTAACAAAGTTCCTAGGCCTGTGGATTTCAGTACATTACTAAAGAGGTATACATTTTTATTTTACTCATTGGGTGTCATGAGGTTTGTGTAATTTTGGTGCTTCAAGCCTTTGGATGAAACCCAAATGATCCATTGTCATCTGCTTAATTATTTAATCAGCTAGTTAGTTCTGGTGCCAGCTTCATGGCTTCAATAGCTTTCTGTATGAAGAATGGTTTGGTTTTAAAACCACACTGAACCTGTAATCACCACCTGTTCTCGTGCAGGACAATATGATCTCTAATCAGCTCCCTGACACAAGGAATGACAAGATGATGCAAAAGAATCAGAACTCGTGGCAGAGGTGATATCTTCTATTAGACCACCTAGAATTTTGCACAAAAAAAAGGTCTTTAAGTGCAAGTTTTTGGGCACAAGCTTCAGGCATAGGAGAAAAGATTGTAAAAGTTTTCCTGGGTAGAAACGAAAGTTCATATTTCATAGGAGAGTTGGTGTGGGGAAATCTCCTGTTTGGAACAGTTCATTTTATTTACAAACCTCAAAGTTGTTTGGTGGTAAGCAGGATGTAGTGCTAACATTCTGCTTACCACCAAACAACTTCAAGGTAAACAGATTATTCCAACTTTTCTGAGCCTAATTTGCATATAAAATGAACTGTTCCAAAGAGGAGATTTTCCCACACCTTCAACTCTCCTATGAAATATAAACTTTTGTTTCTACCCAGGAGAACTTTTACAATCTTTTCTCCTATGCCTGAAGAAAGGTGCTCGTGCCCGAAAGCTTGCAATTAAATATTTTTTTTTGAAAAATTCTAAGTGGTCTAATAAAAGATATCACCTCTACCATGAGTTCTGATTCCTCATGCCTCTAGACCAATACAGTTACAACCTGGATACCTGACAAGAAGATACAAAGACATCTCAAGCCAGCAGTGCCTCTTACCTGCCAAGATCTTCAAGGTTGCTTTGCTCTTTTAGCATGTATGCCAGCTGGACAGCCAACTGCTCCTTCTCCTCGTGGATCTTCTCTCTCGCTGCCCTCTCAGCATGGAAGTCGGAATAATAAAGCTCCATCTGGTCAGAAAAGGAAATACAGTCACATTCACCACTGCGCCCTTACAACAGCTCTAATCCTCCTGGTACACGTTATGCCATATGCCAAAGAGTAAAACTCTAGCAGGCACAAAGAAAGTAGTGCTACGTGTCCCAACCAGAATCAGGGCCAGCATTTTGCTAAAGGCTGCACATATTCCTAAGCAGTCACAGATCAGCGAGCCGGCAGTCCACACAGAAAAGGTGGGGGAAGAAAGCATCCTTGTCACTGGAGGCCTGTGATGTGAAGAAAGAGAATGAGCAAAATCACATGACCAAAGTTACACAGGAAGTATGTAGTTGGGCCAGAAACAGAACCAAGATTTCCTTAATCACAAGGCCAGACTTCTTCTTGGCTCTTTGTTGCGAATCTGACAGAAACTGGTAGTAGAGATGCTCACTGACAATAATGCAGCTATCTTAAGCCTATGGGAGGCCAGTAATTACACTAGTCAAACTATCTAACATTTTATCTATGGTGCCAAACTGCTTCAGAATTCAAACTCCAGTAGTTCCTACAACTGCCTTCCCTTAAAGGGAACAGACTTGGGAATCCACCCAAATACAGATTCTAGAGACATTTGCAGGGACGAATGAAAAAAAGAGAAT